CCCCAAGTGAGGCTAAGAAACAGCAGAATCCAGAGTTGATCTCAGGCAGTCTCTGCTCTCAGCCACTCTGTTTTCTATCTCATTCCCATTTTTACAACTGAGCAATCCAGAATCATTTCTGAATACAGTTTCCATGGTTTCTTTCTGGTTTGAAAAACAGCCTCTCCACCTCAATAATATAAACAAAAATTATCACAGATTAAAAATAAATATACAGGTTTCAGTTCTAGGACACAGAAAAGGTACAGAAAGGTACAGAAAGGAGCTATATTAGTTCATGCATACAACAGTTCAATCAACACCTACTCTGTATCACATAGTACTCTAGGCATTAAGGAAATAACTAGAAAGTCAGGGGAAAAAAGATACACTCACAAGACAGTGTCAGCTTTCAGCTTTCTACAGCCATGGATTCAAACAACCACAAGTAAAGACATTTAGAAAATATGTCCATATTGTACACATACAACCCCTTTCTTGTCATTATTCCTCAAACAACATAGTGTGTCATGATTACTAGTACAGCATTTACATTACATTCCGTATTACAAGCAACCTAGAGATGATAAAGATATACAAGGATATGTGTAGGTGCCATGCAAGTAATATATCATTTTCTGTAAGGGACTTACTTGAGCATGCACATATTTTGGGTTCTGAGGGCAGGGGGGTCCTACAACCAACACCTCTGGACATTGAAGGATGACAACAAATAAAATATACAAAGGATAGTGTCTTGAAGGCAAAAGCAATGAAGAAAAATGAAGGAAGTGAAATACAGAGACACAATACAGGAAACAGTTTCCAACAGATGGTCAGGGATGACTTCAATGAGAATGAACATGAGAGGGATTTTCACAAGAAAACAGATGAGACAATGATTCATACAAAACACTACTGGAGAAGAATATTGGCAACTAACTTTTGCTTCTGCCATCCCTCAATTGCCAAAATGCCACAGTGGCAACCACTTCTTATGAAACTCCCATCAAGACATACCATCTTATTTTCCTACCAAGAAATCAGTTACAAGTGGTCTTGCTTTTGCCTCCTGAAATTTCCATCTTTCTTGCCAGAAAGCAGCATCTGTACCAATCCCCCTGCTTCTGACGACCATGACTTCTTTGATAAACTACCCCTGCGTGTAGGGAGGGACAGAAAGATGGAGGAAGCAAATGGGAAAATGAGTTTTCCCCTCTTCAGATTAATGTATACGAAGTATACATCTGACACTTCATCAGCACTCCCGGCTGGTGTCCCAGCAGGCAGACACTGGCTGAGCATGTATTCTGCCAGCTACCAGGCTACTTAGGATGAATTGGCAACCTGCCATTTATCTGAAATGCCCAAAGTGTCTGGGAAACGGAACACAACTACATTTAGCATTGCCAGGGAAAACTAGATACTTCGGGCTAGGAATTAATCTCCTCCTTGAGAAGGTAGTAAGCAGTACCTTCATGTTTGCCTGTGGCATTTAAATCACTACAGGTCATATATTTACTAAAACCCGCACCTACCAAATCACAAGACCTTCATTTGTACCTTACTAACATATTGATACCTCTTAGGTGGAGATAGTTTCTCTACCTCTACATGTTGTTGAGCTAGAATACAGAATTCTGTGATGCCTAGGATGATACCTAAGCCACTCTGATTCCTTATTTTTCTACCTCCTCCACACTTACACAAATATATTGCACCAATGTAGTTAATCAACAAAATATTTAAAGCAATATGACTATGTGACTGCTTAAAAGCAGATGAATGGCCGGGCGCCAGTGGCTCACTCCTGTAATTGTAGCTACTCAGGAGGCTGAGATCTGAGGATCATGGTTCAAAGCCAGCTCTGGCAGGAAAGCCCATGAGATTCTTATCTCCAATAAACCCACCAGAAAACCAGAAGGGGCACTGTGGCTCAAGTGGTAGAGCACTAGCTTTGAGCTGAAGAGCTGAGGGACAGTGCCCAGGCCCAGAGTTGAAGCCTCACAACCACCCAAAAAAAAAAAAAAAATGAGACAGATGAATGAAAATGTCTTTAATGTAGACAATGATACCTCTTCATAATTTTGACACTGTAGGTTTTGAGTGACTGAGTGGGACTAATGGGAGTGGGCCTATTCCACTGACTCTAAGCACAATGCCAATTGTAACATGCATATTGAGCAAACCCAGGGAGATTTAGATGGACACTCACTCTCCTTAGACCACCATGACAGCAGGCAGAGGCTCGCCATTATTCTCACAGTGCAGCTAAAGGACTGTTACTTTTCCATGAATAATTATTTATTCCTTCACCATTGTTTCTTGAATGGCATTTTTGCTATGAGAAGTGGGAGGAGAAAACTAAATCAGGTAAGAATTCTGTCCTCAAAGAGCCTGAAGTCTAGATGAGAGACAGTAGGCATTAACGCAAACACCAAAATGTTTATTTCTACCCCTTCAGCATCATTTCTATTTAATCTGTTTGATGTAATCAGCAGAAACAATTTAGATATAATCCAATCCAAACATAACAGAAATGTGAAACAGATTAAACTTTAATGCCCTTTAGCTTTGTGGTCCCACAGGTACTAATAGCGATAAAATTAGTTAACATACCAGAGTGAAATATCAAAATAAGCCACAGGGCACAGCAGTCTGGACATGCCAAGGAGAAAAAGAAGAAAGGCTGTGCTTGACAGTCTAACAGTACACCTCATCTCATTTTAGCTTCTGCGTCCAAATTTAAGATTCCATAAAACTTGTAGCTATACCAGCTAAAAATTTAAGAGATTCTCGGCCTAGAATGTTCTTTGATGGCTTTTAGGGGACACTCCTCTAATTTTATTATTGATAGCTCTTCTTACTATTGGTCCGATTCCCAAATCTGAGGATGCTTAACATGCATGAATGAGTCAGTTTTACATCTGGATTTGTGGCCACCAGTCCTAGGTAATAAAATACAGAACTTGTGTGACTGGCTTGTTTTAATAAGAATGATTTACTTGTCTGCAAACATACACTATTACTAGGTAAATGTTAAGAATAGTATTGCAGGAGCTGAAAAACACTTAAGGGGGAAAAATCATGAACTGTGAAGTTCTTTCCTCTTTCAAAGTAAATATTTACAGTAAAACAGCTCTTAACAAAATTAGCCAAGGAGAATCAAGTCATTTTGAACTAGGAAATAAAATGGAAGAAAATGCTATTATCATTTTTACTATATTATTAAAAAGAAGTCACAATATTTTTAAGAGGAAAAAGATATCCTTTTTGTTGAAGGAAAATAGTTATGAAGTCACAAAATACACTACAACCAACGTTTCTAAAATGTTCCAGAGTTGGAAGTGGACCTCAGACCTTGTTTAACATCCCAGTTGGTTCCCTCTTAAAGTTGCAGATGAGGTGATAAAATGTGAGCAATTAAATGACTTGCCCAAGTTTATACAGTTGGCAAAAGTAGGACTAGAGCCCACCCTAAATCAAATCTCTGAACATTATTCTACAATTCCCAAATAGCCAACTTAATTTATTACCAGCGAATAAAATTATAAGACACCATAACACAGAGACATACATTATTTATATCTTCATCAATAAAAGATGTTTAGAAACCTATTTCCATGTCATATAACTCTACCACCAATGCAAAAGTAACTTGTACAGACTTTTAAGTTGAGTCAAAGGTTAAAGTGGAAACATAAGGTCAGCAAACATCATAGTTAAAAAGAAAGTACTTTCACTGGGTATGAGGGACAGGATGGGTGGGTGGAGAGAGATGTGAAAGTAATCCATGTTGCTAACAAGTATACAAATGCTTGTGTTATGTGCCAACTAGAAAACACGAAGATTGCTATTTGGGAAATATTTACTTTGTACTTCCATTTTTATTCTTTTTTTAAAATTTTTGGTTGTGCAGGGGGATCAACTCCTGAGCTCGGAATGTCAGGATCCACACACTAGGGAGCAATCCGCCAGTGAGCTAACTCCTAACCCTCACCATTTTTAATCATCAGGAAAAAGAATGACCCTAGCAAGTATCACCAACAGTTGCTAAATTTCAGGGAAATGTTTGATGCTTTAACCTGTTAAGCATACCCTCCTTCCCATCAAGATTGATTATAGACCACAAGAGAAAAAGTTGTAACTATAGTGGAAAAACTGAGTGACATCTTAACTAGATAATCAAAATAAGCACGATAGTAAAGGGCAGATGGACATCAGGAGCCTTCAAACACCAGGCCCTGAGGATGTATCACCAAAGCCTGAGTCTGATCTAGAATGCAAAACCCTGGGCCTCAGCAGGTAAACGTAATATGAGAAATACTGTTAAAAAATACATACATATATATATATATATATCACCTGCAAAACTTTTGATGTCTCAAAAGACAAGGAAAGGTGATAGCAACATCACAAACTAAAGGAGATTAAAGAAATGGATAATAGATGCACAACACAGCCATAGGCTATGTCTTGTATATACATAAAAGATGACTGAGTCCATTGATAAAATAGAAATACCGATGGCAGAGTAGATAATAGGATCGAATCCCGTATTTATTCAAGTTGATAAAGGTGACAATGAAGAACTATGATAGATATACAGCATACTCTACTATCAAATAACTGAAAAAATGATGTGTGTATGTATGTATATATATATATATATATATACATATATATATACACACACACACACAGACATATATGCATATACATGCATGTCTGTACACACAGATAACAAGGTGGACTTATTTAATTGAATGTAGACAAAAATAAAGAAGTTCTTCTTTAAAGAAAAAAAAATATTAGAAACGTTTTCATTTCTTTGAGGGAAAGGGCAGGGAAAAAGCCAAATAGAAATATTCCTAACTTGTCAGGTAAGAGTAGAAATTAGCACACTGAGAGCAAGGAATTTCATGTTGCCAATCTGCACTTAATGCTATGTGTGGGTAGGTTTAAATCTAGTTACACTTAATAAAATGTCTCCAGGGAGACGGTGAGCGCAGACCCACACGTCAAGTACTCACCAGGCTCGCAGTGAGTGAGGGCGCCGACTGACCCAGGGCCTGGCTACGCATGCGCACGAGGTTGGACGTCTCTGCAGAGGCTGGCCATGCGTGTCCTGCCACTGAATTTGGAAGAAGGTACCTCCCTGTTGGGGTGAAAGACAAGACAATATAAGTGGCATGCAAACAACAGTATGCAGGTGGTAATGTTGGGTCTCTTACTAGCACCTATCTTCTATGTTATTATTCAGTAATTACATGAATTAATAGCAATAGGGGAGGAGGTAATTTAAATTAAGAGATCCACTGGTGGGTTTTAACCCTCGACAGACACCCAGGGAAAACCTCTTCATCTCCTGTGAATGGCTCTTCGTGGGGGTAGAATGAGGTTGTTTTTCCATCTGCCTATTGCACTGGAATGCATGGAGGAGACATGCAAAATATCCAAATCACTGTGTCACAGAAATAAATGTGTGCATTTATAAACGTTCTTTGAAAAAAATCTACTATGGAAAATGATCTAGGAATGAAGAAGAGCCTACAAAGTAGAGATCATGACCAACAAAAGGAAATGGTAAATTCTCTCAAGGTGAAATGGGGCTGGTGTCCCTTTCCCTAGCTTCTCTCTCTGAAATGCAGGTAGCCATCCAACCATGCCCACCGCATACATAATGGGAGCTATTTGCATAAATCAGGACATCAATGTCAGTCCAGGTTCACTGCACAATTTCCATCAACCTTGAACTCAAGATATATACACATATGCTTTTTAAAGTCAAACGGCAAAACTGATTCACACTGCTACTTTCTAGGTATAGGGACTACATCAGTATCATTTTGTTTTAACTTCACAGAAAATTAGGGTGGCCAAGAATATTTGTTACCAAAAATTTGGTTCCCCAAACTAGATGCCAATGCACAAATAATGAGAGTGGGGTTTTTAAAGAAAAGGTTTATTAATTTTGATAGGTAAAATGAGAATAGCACAGGATATTGCCTCAAAGCCAAGATCCTACTCTGAAAACGTCTAATATTTAGTGGAGCTCAGGAATTTAGTTTCTAGGTATATGACAAAATGCATGTCTAGATTAGGTCTGATCCCCTAGTTTACTCATTTACTGGCACCATATCCCCAAATCCATAGTCTTAGTTGATAGGGACTTACTCCTTCCCAATGGTTAGAGAAAATGGAGATAGATTATTACCTGGGTTCATTGAAAAAAAAGAGTGTTCACCTTGGGTTCCCCAGCATGGGGGATAGGTATGCATAATTAGCAATCATTTCTGTCCTTCCTGGATTCCAAGGTGGTGGCAAGAGAGAATACACAGAAACAAAGTAGAGGCTGGGGTGTCTTGCTTATCTTATCTCCTGTCTTCAGTTAACTTGTAGATCCAAGTAAGGAGCCATTGCTTCTCAGCAAGAATAGCTTTTAAGCATCTATGTCATGTTTATATGGAAGAAGAGACTTTGCCTGATTTTTATCTGCTTTGCTCCAATAGTAGCACAGTGACTGACTATCATTTATTAAATGATGAATGGATGAGTGGGCATGTCCTTCCAAGAAACCACAGTTACAATAACAAGAATCCCATTTGAGAGTCACATGTATGGGGACTCCCATCTTATATCTCAGAATCCTGTGTGACTGAAGCATGCATGGCTGGAGGCCAGCAGCAGACAACATCCTTGCTTTTCTCCAAAGTATATCTGACAAGTTAGTAACTACTGTAGCCTATTCATCATTATTCAGGCTAACTTTCGGCATTCCCAAAGCATGGGAGTTGGGGACATCTCTCATCAATTGTCTAGGTTAAGAGAGCTAAGCAATCTAATGGTTATTTAATACAAGTGCTTTCTAAATGCTATATTTTAACTGCAGAGGGAAAAGGGGCTTTCCATTTTGTTTAAACTGATCTTTCATTCTCATACTGTGAAAGTACAGGCTCTGGAATAAAACTAGATGTGCTTTGGAAATCTTGTCCTATGGCTGAGGACAACGAGAGAGATAGTCAGTGTCTCTTGGTCTTGTTTGTTCCAGCTCTAAAATGAAGACGAAAGAATCACTATGTAGGATTGTTATTGTAAAGTACTAGGAAATTTTAGCTATTTAGCCATATCAATGGTTAAAAAATTAAAAGGATATTTTAGTTGGTTTTCTTTTCGTTCAAACATAGAAAACAAGTATATATATATATATATATATATATATATATATATATATATATATATATATATACGCATATATATACATACAGACACAAACACATACACAAAGAAAGAATTCACATATTATGACACCAGAGAAAATCATTGTGGACAGCTCATGATTTTCCTGCAGGTTTTCTCTCTATAACCTGTATTTTCTTGTAAAAATGGGACCATACTCTTGTCACCTGGTCCCCAACACCCCATATTAGATTGTAACTTCTTTCAAGCAAATATATATAGCAACTGTCAATTAATTAGGATGCGAACACTGTCATTGAAAGCTCAAATATAATTGATTCCCCTCTGTGGTTCTGAGCACCATCTTGAAAACATCTGGACATAAACTTGGGCAAGGAATGTTACACTTTAAGTCTAAGATTGTAATTTGTTTCCTTGTCTCATTTTGTAATGTTAACTACAAGCTGGACTAAGAGGGGCTTTGGGGAATCTTGTCTCCTTAGGCCCAGAAACAGGACATTAGTGAGGCAAGGCAGGAAAACTGCAGACTATTTAGGAAAGCAGCATTGGTATTACATGAGTGAATGGTTTAACACAGAAACAACTCTACCTGAAGAGCAGCATTTGGTAACAATATAGAAGACCACTCAGTAATCTGAATGCATCTATTTGTGTGGTAGGATAGGTGAATCCTACCTGTGTCTTTTATGCCTCATTCCTTTGTTTGGGAAAAGGCAAGGCATGCCAAAGCTATGAGGTGCCAAGGATTTTCTTTGAAACTTTGCTGGCCTCATCTCTGTTCTGCCCCGATGGTTTTTTTGTTTGTTGTTTTTTTGTTTGTTTTGTTTTTTAAGAAAACTGAAGATAGATGTAAAATCACCTGGAGAATTTAAATCTAAAGGCCAAACATTTTAGTTCACTAAAAATTCTACAAATTAGTTTTTGGTGTTGTTTGCTTTTTATTTCTATGGGGCTTGGGTTTTTATTAGAAAATAATAATTAGGCTGTGTAACTAAATTTCCCCTGATGTAAAGAAATAGGTCTATTTGTTTCTACATCTCCAATGCCTAGCAAAAGGATCTTGTATTTACTAAACATTTAATAAATGTTTATCAACTGAAACGCCGTTAAACTGTACTATTTTAATGATATCTGATTACACTTGAACAAGAAAAAGTACTAGCAAATAGGTTATTTTCTCAAATTTCATTTGCAAGTGTAGCATAATAGCTAAAATTCACCATGATCATCTTTTACTGCCAGGCCCTGCAACATCCCAGGCCAGCCACAGAGCAGGTATTGTTCATCCACAGTGCACGGACAGGTTCCTTAACCAGTCAAGGGCTGACAGTGGACGAAATCAGTACTATGATGCCAAAGCCAAAATACTAACACACGAAAATATCTATCACATATACTTAGGCGAAAATACAAATATAAGTTAAGATAGGATGATTCCAGCTGGAAAGAACAAAATAACTGAAACCATGGGCTTGGAATCAGACCAACATGGATCTGAAACAGTTCTCTCTAGTCATTTGCAATAGACAATTTGCACAGTAGTTTTTTTCTTCATTCAGTATTTTTATTGCTATTATAAAGATGATGTACAGAGTGGCTGCTGTTTCATAGGTCAGGTAATAAGTACATTTCTTTTTGGACAATGTCACGTCTTCCTTCATTTTTTCCCTCCCATCCCACTCCACAGTTGAATAGTTCATTTTCAACATAGTGTCTACTGAGTACCACTGCTGTATTTGTTCACCCTTTTCCCCTCCATTTCTATGTCCCCCTTGACCCCACCAAACACAGATAAACAAGACAAAAAGAAAAAACAAAAATAAAAAAATCTTCTTGTTTCCATTTCTTGGAATTCATTTTGATAAATATTATTTTATATGATCAGAGACATAAAGGCATTGCACCGTTGTGTTCTTCCCCTAAGAGGATCCTTTGGTCTCACTGAATGTGAATGCTTAGAACCCTGAATAATTTATCATGTCCCAGTATTTTAGATCTAGTTTCCACATATGAAAGAAAACATGTGCAGTTTGTCTACACTTGGCTTACCTCACTTAACATGATTTGTTTTAGGTCCATCCACTTTCCTGCAAATGACATAATACTGTTCTTTCTAATGGCTGTGTAAAATTCCATTGTGGATAAGTACCTCCCCTCTTTTTTTTTGATACACTGATCTATTGTAGAGCATCTGAGCTGTTTCTATAACTCAGCTATTGTGAATAGTGCAGCAATGAACATGCATACACAGTAGTCATTTTTTTTAAAAAGCAAATGAACTTCTATACCTCAGTATTCCCCTCCCCAAAAGAGGGAGATGATAGATAAGATTGAAGGAGATATAATGCATAATTTCTCTTGCCCTAGAAGACAAACTCAGTCAATGAGTTTCACATTATTCTTCACTGTGAAAAAAAAAATCTTGGCAGTCAGAGTCTTGCATCAGGTCACATTTTAAAAAATTAAATAAAAGGAATAGCAAAATCCAAATTATCCCTAAAAGAAAAAAAATGGGAGTGGGGGGGTGGAACCAGCAAGGACTGTGCTAGATCTATATAATAATAATAATATTATATAATTATGTATTATGTACATATATAGTTATTGCATTATATATTATATATTAAATATACCTTTTAATAATTTCATTATTATTATTACAGTATCAGAGACCAAATCTAGGACCTCATGCATGGTAGGAAAATATTTCATCAGTCACACCATGACCCATATATTTTTATTTTTTAAAGTATTTGTAAGGAATAATAAAATTTATTAGTTCCCCTCAAAAGATTAAATGAAGCTAATTAAAGTTTTGACTTGTGCCTTTAAACTAAATATAAAACCTTTTACATATACCTGAAAATGTGGTAGCAAATGTTAAAGTTCGATAAAACCAAATGATAGGCATATGGGGCTACACTGCATTCTTTAAAAAAATTAATTTCTGTACATGAT